AGAGTTGGAGGTTGCTTTGAGTTGTGATGCCATGGCACTCTACCCAGGGTGACAGCTTGAGGCTGTGTCTCAAAACAAAAAAAAAAAAAAAAAAATTGCTCAGCTACCCCAAACTACATACTATTATACATAGTATGGTACAGTTTAGACATAAATATTTCAAGAATGGTACTAAAGCAAATTAAGTCAAGAAAAGAAGCAATATAAGAATTAAAAAAACAGGCAGTATGAGGTAACTCACACCTATAATCCTAGCACTCTGGGAGGCCAAGGCTGGTGGATCATCTGAGCTCACAAGTTCGAGACCAGCCTGAGCAAAAGTGAGACCTGATCTCTAAAAATAGTCAGGTACTGTGGCAGGTGTCTGTAGTCCCAGCTCCTTGGAAGGCTGAGGTAAGAGAATCGCTTAAGCCCAAGAGTTTGAGATTCCTGTGAGCTATAACACCACAGTGCTTAATCCAGGGCAACTGAGTGAGACCCTGTCTCAAAAAAATAAAAAAGAGAGAGAGAGAGAGACCCATCTCTACTAAAAATAGAAAAATTAGCCTGGCATTGTGGCGGTGCCTATAGTTCCAGCTACTTGGGAGGCTGAGGGAGGAGGACTGCTGGAACTCAAGAGTTTGAGGTTGTGTGAGCTATGCTGATGCCGTAATACTCCAGCCTGAGCAACAGAGTGAGACTCTGTCTCAAAAAATAATCAATTATATATAATTACATATGATTATCAAAATCTGTGAAAACTTATCTCCACTCTGTGTAGAAATTTTGTGAGACAGAGTTCCACTGTGTCACCCTCAGTACAATGCTAGGGCTTCATAGATCACAGCAACCTCAAACTCTTGGGCTCAAGTGATACTCTTTCCTCAGCCTCCCTGTATAGCTGGGACTTTAGGCGCCAACCACAATGCCTGGCTATTTTTTAGAGACGGGGTCTTGCTTTTGCTCAGGCTGGTCTCCAACTCCTGAGCTCAAGCAATCCATCCACCTCAGCCTCCTGGAGTGAAGAAGTATAGGCTTAAGCCACTGTGCTGGGCTTCTGTGTAGAAATTTTTACATCAATTCATTTAAGAATCTTGGAAATTAGTAGGTTATCACTGAGTTATCAAAATAGCACCCTATGACCAGCACCAGTTCAGAACAATAGAGGAAAATGTGCCAAAAAGAAATTTTTCACCTTTCTGTCATAGCATAAATAGAATTTTTTTTTTCTTTGAGACACAGTCTCTCTTTGTTGCCCTCGATACGTGTGCTGTGGCATCACAACTCACAGCAACCTCAAACTCTGGGGCTTAGGTGATTCTCTTGCCTCAGCCTCCCAAGCAGCTGGGACTACAGGCACCTGCCACAATGCCCAGCTATTTTTTGGTTACAGTTCTTATTACTGTTTAGCAGGTATGGGCCTGGTTTGAGCCCACCACGCTTGGTGTATGTGGCCAACGCCCTGCCAACTGAGCTGTGGGTGCTGCCGATTTTTTTTTTTTTTAAATAGAGTCTCAAGCTGTTGCCCTGTATAGAATGCTGTAGTGTCTTAGTTCCCAGCAACCCCCAACTCTTGGGCTCAAGCAATCCTCTTGCCTCCGTTTTCTCTATTTTTAGTAGACACGGGGTCTCGCTTTTGCTCAGGCAGGTCTCCGTGAGCTCAAGCAATTCACCCACTTCAGCCTCCCGTAGTGCTAGGATTACAGGCATGAGCCACTGCGCCCAGCCCCCTTTTTTTTTTGGTGGGGCTGGGGGTGGACAGAGTCTCAAGCTGTTGCCCTAGGCAGAGTGCCGTGACATCACAGCTCACAGCAACCTCCAACTATTGGGCTCAAGCAATTCTCCTGCCCCAGTCTCCCAAGTATCTGAGACTATAGGCACCTGCCACAATGTCCAGCAATTTTTTTATTGCTATTGTTGTTGTAGTTGTCATTGTTGTTTTAGCTGGTCCAGGCTGGGTTCAAACCCACCAGCCTTGGTTTAAGTGGCCGGTGCCCTACCCACTGAACTACTGTACTGCCTTTTTGTTGTTGTTGTTAAGCAGGCCGGGGCGAGGTTCAAACCCACCAGCCCTGGCATACAGTACTGACACTCTAACCACCAAGCTTCAGGCACCCAGACCATAAACAGAATTTCTACCATCTTAACTGTCACTTAAGATTGTTTACGGGGGGCTGGGTGCCTGTACCTCAGCAGCTGGGGTGCCAGCCACATACACTGGAGCTGGTGGGTTCAAATCCAGCCTGGGCCTGCTGTAGTCCCAGTTACTTGGGAGGCTAAGGCAAGAGAATCGCGTAAACCCAAGAGTCTGAGGTTGCTGTGAGCTGTGATGCCACGGCAATCTACCCAGGGTGACATAGTGAGACTGTCTCAAAAAAAAGAAGGGGGGGCGGAGCCTATGGCTCAAAGGAGTAGGGTGCCAGCCCCATATACTGGAGGTGGCAGGTTCAAAAAAATTGTTTACTGGGCCCAGCACTGCGGCTCAAGCCTATAATCCTAGCACTATGGGAAGTCAAGGTGGGTGGATTGCCTGAGCTCACAGATTTGGGACCAACCTGAGCCAGAGCAAGACCTCATCTCTAAAAATAGCCAGGCATTATGGTAGGTACCTGTAATCTGAGCTATCTGGGAGACTGAGGCAAGAGAATCACTTGATCCCAAGAGTTTGAGGTTGCTGTGAGCTATGATGCCAGAGCACTCTACCAAGGGCGACACAGTGAGACTCTGTCTCAAAAAAAAAAAAGGATTGTTTACTGGTTTCCCCATATATAATATAGAAACAGAGACCATCTTAACCTGAGCTGTCTTACTCTGTTACCTTTTTATTTATTTATCCTTTTTTTTTGAGATAGAGCCTCAAGCCCTGGTTAGAGTGCTATGGCATCACAGCTCACAGCAACCTCCAACTCCTGGGCTTAAGCAATTTTCTTGCCTCAGCCTCCCAAGTAGCTGGGACTACAGGCGCCTGCCACAACGCTGAGCTAATTTTTTTTTTTGGTTGTAGTTGTCGTTGTTTGGCAGGCCTGGGCTGGAATCAAACCCGCCAGCTCTCTGTTGTATGTGGCTAGCACCTCAGCCCCTTGAGCTATAGGCACTGAGCCTCTGTTACCTTTTTAAACACAAATAATTTGATAAAGGAAGGAAGGAGGAGGAAGAAGGGGGGAGAAAGTAGGGAAGCCGAGGAAAGGAGTTGGTAAGCTCTATCTTAACCAGTACAATGTAGGGGTATATGGCACACCTCCTGGGGGAAGGGTTGAACTACAATTTGAACTTTACCTAACAAGTGCAAACAATGTAACATATTTGTACATACCCTTATATTAGCCTGAAATAAAAAATAATAAATTTTGGTGAGCAACTATTCTGTCATGTCTTGTATGCAATGTAGTTTATATGAGTTATCTCTAATTTCCACAATCATGCTCCAAGCATCCAAACAGGTAATTATTTGTTTGGGTGTTTTGGGATGGGACTTTCTGCTTTTTGGGTTTTTTTTTTTTTTGAGAAAGTCTCACTTTGTGCCCCACATAAAATGCTGTTGCATCATCATAGCTCACAGCAACCTCAAACTCTTGGGCTTAAGTGATCCTCTCCCCTCAGCTTTTCTATTTTTAGTAGAGAGGGAGTCTCGCTCTTGCTCAGGCTGGTCTCAAACTGTTGAGCTCGGCCTCCCAGAGTGCTAGGATTACAGGCGTGAGCCACTGCACCTGGCCTGGGGTCTTGCTCTTGCTCAGGCTTGGCTTGAACTAGGGATCTCAGGCAATCCACTCACCTAGGACTGCCACGGAGACCAGCCTTTTTTTTTTTTAGAGGCAGGGTCTGGCTTTGTTACCCAAGCTGGAGAGCAGGAGTGTGATCATAGCACATTCCAGCCTCGAACTACTGAATAGATCATATTCTCCCCATTTTACAGATAAATAAATTCTTCCTGGGAAGTCTACTTAAATTATTAAATTAAGTAAAGGAGCACTGGCCAAGCACTGCAGCTTATATGCAGGTAATCTCTGCATTCTGGAAGGCACAAGCAGAACAGGTTAAGGCCAGAAGTTCAGGACCAGCATGGGCAGCATAGCCACCTTCCACTAAAGTCTATACTCCCAGCTACTCCAGAAGCCGTGGCAGAAAGTATTCCTTGTGCCCAGAATTTGGAGGTTACAGTAAGCCATGATCAATCCTTACTGCATTCAAGACAGATTGATCCATAAAGTAGAAGGGGAAGAGGAGAGAGAGGGGTGGGGAGAGGGAATCTGGGAGAAGGGAGGGTATTGGGGGGGGGGGACCGCACCTAATGTGCATGATGCAATGGTACATTTCAAAACTATTAAGAAATGAGTATAATTGTGATGTGAATGTGTTACTTGGTTCAATGTAAACATTTCACATTGTATATTGAAGCAGTTCCCTGAACCCCATAAATGCACCAATGTACAAAGTTATGATTTAATAAAAAATAATTAATTATAAAAAAAAAAAAGACAGATTGAGATCACAAGTCTTAAAAAAAAAAAAAAAAGTAGAACAGTCCTGAATCCAAACGCGGTATACGACGCTAATGACAGGCTTCTCCATTTGGGAAACACAGGCATGTTCCTCGCAGTAAAAGGAGCAAAGTAACCAGAACTCCTTCCCATTGACATAAGTCAGCAGAACAAAAGCAATACCCCTTTCTCTTAAAAATAAACAATTAAAAAACACTTTATCTGTAAAGTACTCTAGTAAAATGAAAACTATAGTAATCTAAATTTCTCAAATGAAGTGTGGATATTCTCCACTTCAGAACTGTTACACCCGGACTCTCGGATGATCACTTGAAGACACGGTCTTCTCTAAGAAAATCAATAGACATGCCACACCCTGTGGGTCAGAGGGACAAAATGAAGTCTGAAGACTCAACTAAAAAGCTTAAAGCAAGCCAGAGTACTATGGTAAAGTTCATTTCCTCGGCTTCCAGATGACAGTCCCAGAGAGGCTGGCAAATGAAAATACTCCCTTCTGCAAGCTCTTACCTGCTCCTAGAAGGCTTTTCTTTAGACTCCGGTCGCCCAAAATCCACCGTGGGCACATCTGTAGGTTCTATTGACTTCAAAGCAGAGTCAGCCGCAGGCTCCGGCGGCCTGGGAGAATCCTGTCCACGCTGGGGATTAGGGGCGGTGGAGCCCCTGGCGCCTATACCAGGCCTGACATTCGGCTTCACGCTAAGGCGTGCCCTGCGGAACATGGCGGAGCCAGGGGGCCCGGGGAGGCGGCTCCACCGCCGCTCTCAGCCCCGAGCCCCGGCTGCTGCCCAGAAAGAGGGTTGAAAACTGCGCCTTCCCCACAAACCACACCACCAGCCCAGCAGGCAGCTACCGCAGTTTAACACCCCCACCACCTCTTCCTCCTCTCTCCCACCGCCGCCGCTTTTTCATGACCCTGCCACACCAATAACCAAATTTCTACCTCCTCCCAGTACCCCCGTCTTCCGAGGGCGCTGGGACCTGCTCGTCATCATTCAGCGCTGCGGAATGACGTCAGACGCGCGACGCAGGGAGCTGCACTAACTACCAGGCGACAGAGCCTGGGTATCGTTTGAACCAGAACTCGAAAAGCAAAGATTTAAGGAGTTCCTCTTTTAAGCATCTTTAGGAGTAACTGAAGGGGGAGGGGGAGTTATTCAGTTATTCAGCTCAAATGGAAACTATTAAATTCGGTGGCAGATTGGAGGGTTCTTAAGAGGAGTTAAACAAGATAAGAGCATACCTACTCACCAGTGTATTCCAGGGTTTAGAAATTCTAACTTGAGGTTCGGCGCCTGTAGCTCAGCAGCTAGGGCGCTGGCCACTTACACCCGGGCTACCAAACAATGACAACTGCAACAACAAAACAAAAATAGCCCGCATCGTGGTGGGCACCTGTAGTCCCAGCTACTTGAGAGGCTGAGGCAAGAGAATCGCTTAAACCCAAGAATTTGAGGTTGCTGTGAGCTGTGACGCCATGGCACTCTACCCAGGGTGACAGCTTGAGATTGTCTCAAAAAAAGAAAAATATTATAACTTGAGTAGGATATAGAAATTCTGGCATAGCCAGGCACTATGACTCACATCTGTAATCCCAGCACCTAGAGATCAAGGCAAGAGCATAGCTTGTGGCCCACAGATCGATAACGCACTGGGCAAAATAACATGACCCCATCTCAAAAAAAAAAAAAAAATCTGGCATAAAACTCATGATGGTTACCTTCTAGGGGAAAACAAGTGAAATTAGGAAAACTATTCTCTGTATACCTTGTGTAGTTTTTTTAAAATGTATTTTCTCCGCTGGGTGCAGAGGCTCATGCCTGTAATCTAGCACTCTTGAGGTGGAGGCGGAAGGATGGTTGAACTCAGGAGGTCCACACCACCACGAGCAAGAAGGTACACCCCATCTCTACTGAAAATCGAAAAATTAAGGGGCATAGTGGCACTCGCCTGTAGTCCCAACTACTTGGGAGGCTGAGGCAAGATAGCTTGAGCTCAGGAGTTTGAGGTGGGATAAGCTATGAATAGGATGACACCACTGCAATCTAGCTGGGAAGAGAGAGACTTTCAAAAAAAATTCTATTTTGTTTATACTTGTCTTCCTAACAACCTCGTGTACTTTTAAATCTGCATGTACTACCCTTCTAAAAAGTATTATAGTTGGAACATTGTAAATTATTGTGAGTATTCTCTTTTTTTTTTTTTTTTTTTTTTGAGACAGAGCCTCAAGCTATTCCCCTGGGCAGAGTGCTGTGGCATCACAGCTCACAGCAACCTCAATTCCTGGGCTCAAGTGAGTCTCCTGCCTCCGCCTCCCAAGTAGCTGGGACCACAGGCACCTGACACTATGCCTGGCTATTTTTTGGTTGCAGCCATCATTGTTGTTGGTGAGCAGGGACTGGATTCAAACCCGCCACCTTAGGTGTATGTGGCTGGCGCCCTAGCCACTAGAGCCACAGGCACCAAGCCTATTGTGAGTATTCTCAATCTACTTCAAGACATAGCAATAAATTAGACATTCTCTTCACTGCCACCCAAGGCCTGAAATAAATAAACAAGAAAGACATTCTGGGTTTGGGAGGAAAAAAATATAACAAACAAATGAACAAGATAATTAAGTATGTATTACATGCCATGAAAGACATTTAAAGGGTGAATGCTAGCCAAAGACTAGTCCCTGTAGTCCCAGCTACTCCAGAGGCTGAGGTGGAAGGACAACTTGAGGCCAGGAGTTTCAGACCAGTCTGAGCAATATAGTGAGACACCCTCCAGCCACCATCCAAAAAAGTAAGAAATTTACATCATGACATGATAGGAAGTAACAGGAGGCTGGCAGGTAAAGTAGTTAGGGAAGTCCTCTATGATAAGGGGAAAAATAGGCAAAGATCAGGATGGCCATGAAGGTCTGGGGCCAGTGTTTGAACCAGTGACACAAATCTCTCTTTTTTTAATGTTTTTGGTTTTGTTTTTTTTAGACGGAGCCTCAAGCTATCCCCCTGGGTAGAGTGCCATGGCATCACAGCTCATAGCAACCTCCAACTCCTGGGCTCAAGTGAGTCTCCTGCCTCA